TAGTAAATTTAATAGTTGGATGCAGAATTTTCATTATAAACAGTAATTCTACAGCTTCCTTGATCTAGTTAACGATCGCGAAGACGTAATCTATGTATCTTCTGTAGAGTATTATCTTGTTCAACTTTATGGGTACTTTTTCTTCTAGATAGCACATCAACATGTCAGAAAACGTTGGTCCTAGGGGACCTCTCATTAGGAATCCATCAATTTTTCGATATGGATGGCCACTAAATAGAAATCGCACATCTTTTGTACAAGATCTTAATAAGTCCTGTAATATTTCCGGGGACAGGCGAGTTTCGAAAGAATATGTGCAAATAAGATCTACAGGTTCCTCTAAGAGCACGTTGATAAATAATGACTCAACGTCCAAGGAGATCATGTATTTGTCTGAAATAATTTGATTCCTTATTTCGTTAATATAGTTAAACGGGTTTTTAAATTTATGGCCAGAAAATTTATTGCGGATTGGCTCCATTTCCTTCACTAGCAATTGTGCTAATCTCTGAATGGGTAAATTGTACATGCATAGAATAATATGTAAGGGGATATCGTTTTTATGAGTTTTAGGTAATCCATATAGGCGTGGAATATAAGAAACCCCAGGTTTTAAGGATAGCGATGTTTTGGTATCCAACAGATGCTTAATTGTTTTCCAAGCGGAATCTTCCAATGCCTTGGTTTCTCCTCCGCATTGCGCCCCTGCACGAATGGTATTCGAATCATTTAAGAGATCTTTTATTTTATAAGCATAACTCTTACGATTGAGAATGAAAACACCATGCTCTTTGTGCGGTTTAGGAATTACTATTTCTTTGTGATGTTCAAACGTTGATAGAGCAAGTATATGCCCCTTGTTTATGGGCGTACGTTGTGATATTCCAGCTCTTCGGTACTGATATGCGATATCCACAAATGTGGCTTTCATCCGTTCCAAGTCATCAGTGGATCCGCGTAGTAGGTCCGATAGATGAGACCTCCGGTCTTCAAATTGGGGTTCAACTGGATTAATTCGTTTATTTGGCAGAAATATACAGAAATATAGGTCTAATGAAAGGGCCTTTGTTTGCAAGTTGTTTACACATATCCCTTCCCAACCTCTTACCTTGGATGTTCTCTTCCCCGTTTGTGCTGCTCAAAGTGTTTTGACTTTCTTACAGTATTGATCGCCTCTTGACCATTCCCCGTGACCTTGCTGATTGTATCGATTTTTGCTGCATGATTCACTTTTGCAGTCTTCTTACGTTATTCACGTTAGGCAACGAGTTGATGCAAGAGATGAGAATTCTCGAAATAAATGGATCCAATAAATTTTGCTATTCATACGATCTTCAGAATTGCACCAGGGGAAAGTTGCTTTCCATCTTAATTTTTTTAGAGCTGCGTGAGTTTTCGTGTGAATTTTGTGGAAAAGCTTTTTCTCAACGGTCACACATGCAGATGCACATTAAGGCGATCCACGGAGGTTTGTTCTCGTTCTCTGGTGAACTGCTGTTTGATTTTTATTACAAATGTGTTTCTAAGGCTGCCAGCTTACAGAAAATCCCCGTTTCTGCTTTCAGTATTGTGCGTTTATTTGAAGAATAGTAGTGGCCTGCCTAGTCACAGACTGACACCGTGCCAGTTGCAAGTGCGAGTCACCCTCTGTACACCGATGGCCCTATCCTGACTCGTCAAAC